CAATTCGCTTGTCCAGATAAAGTGGAAACTACACAATTATAGTACTCATTAGAAATCATACATCAATCCCTGTGGGTTCGACATTCTCTATTTCATCACTATATTACAAAACTTGACACCGTACACTTGCGGCATTTTCACGTTGTATAAAACGCGTGACACCTACTATTGAGAATGACATGAGATGTTATTACTTATAAAGCCCTATTTCCTAATTGTACTATTTGCTCAACGTCTTTAATTTCAATCTTCCATTTTGTAGGCATGTGTTTGACTAGGAGGGAAGAAACATCGTCGAACTCTGATAGCTGGTGTACAACAAGAATGCCATATGGGCTGTGTCATGTTTCTTGTTTCTTAATCTGATTAGAGTTCGATGATACTTTCTTCATCAAATAGCTGGAACGCGTCTACAAAAACGAAAATTGAATACCTTATGGGCGGTTAAAATATGTAACTTTTACTTATTTTTAACAGGGAAATAGTACTTATGCCAAAAATTATTTACATTTAAGTAATTTTTTAAACTTAAATCATATTTGAAAAGACTTCGTAAACTAGATATTTTAATACTTATTTACGGGAGATTTTTTTCAAATTAAAATAATCTTTGTAGAGGATATACGATTGAAAAGTATAAAAAATTATGTAGATTGTGATTGAAAATAATTTTGAAAAAATCTCTCAAAAATAAGTCCTTGACTTCGTAAATTGCCACCTTGAGAAACGGTCCACTGCCGAAAATAGAAGAAAAGTGAAAGTGTCCATTTGATGAAAGAAATAGTCCACTTTCACCGAGTCGAAGACGAATTCATGTATGTGTGAAGACGAATTCATGTATGTATGCGTAGGGGTGGGCATTGAGCCGGGCTGGGTTTGGACCAAAACCGACCCAACTCGACATACTCGATTTGGGCTCTTTCACGACCCGACCCGGTTCGAATCAGGTTGGATCCATTTTTTTTTCAGCACTGATTGACTTAAATATAAATAATTATTTTGCCATTTCAATAAAAAAATTTCAACAAAATAATATTTGTCATTCATA